AAGAGTTTGGCATTGATTTGAAACATATATTATTATCGGAGGACAAGACAGCCATCTCTACAATGACCGCCAAATTTGTGGCGACGACTGCTTTACAGGTGTCGTTGTTTGCGGTCATCAAAGACTTGGGGATCACTCCCGACGGCATAATTGGTCACTCATTTGGTGAGATTGCCTGCGCTTTCGCCGACGGATGCCTTACAGTAAAGGAGGCTATGATTTATACAGCATTTCGGGCCATAAATAGCAAACAAAATGGGAAAATAACCAAAGGATTGATGGCATTCGTGGGTCTATCCAGAGCTGAGGCATTGAAATACTGTTCAAACGATGTCTACATTGCGTGTAATAATGCGAGCAATAGTGTTGTTATTTCAGGTATAAATTTATTTAATATTTATCAATCTGCAATTAAATTTATAAATATATATTTTTTGCATTCAAATTTAGGTCCAATCACTGAAATTTTGGAGATTATTGAAAAATTAAAAGCAAAGGAAGTATTTGTGCGGCCATTAGATTGCGATGAAATCCCATACCATTCGCCATATATTAGCGAATCGGCGAAAGCCATGAGAGAAGACATTAAAAAATATGTACCAAATCCTAAACTTCGGTCCAATAAATGGTTGTCCACTTCGGTGTTGACATCACATCCTGAAGACGAAGCCTTGAAATACTCGGGCGGAGAATATTTTGAGTATAATATGGCAAATGAGGTCCGATTTTATGAACAGTTGCAGAAACTGCCCGTCAATGCAGTTGTCCTCGAATTGAGTCCGCACTCAATATTTGGACAAATAGTGAAAGAAACTCTCAAAGAATGCACTAATATATCGCTCCTTAAAATGTATTTTATGAACAGTTGCAGAAACTGCCCGTCAATGCAGTTGTCCTCGAATTGAGTCCGCACTCAATATTTGGACAAATAGTGAACGAAACTCTCAAAGAATGCACTAATATATCGCTCCTTAAAATGGATTCAAACCATACAAATATGGATATGTTTTTGTCCGGTTTGGCACAGCTTTACGAACTGGGCTTTAATCTGGACGTCCATAGACTCTACCCGTCAGTTGAGTGGCCGGTGGCCCGCAATACACAGTCTATCGCATCGCTAATCAAATGGGATCACAACCAGAGTTATCCTCTAAGACTTTATGAGGAAAGATATTTCCGAACGAATGCCTCGAATACTAACGTTACTATCAGTCATAAACTAAATCAGGATTCATTTTACCTTGATCATATTGTGGACGGGCAGCCCCTATACCCGGCCACAGGCTTTCTAATGCTTGCCTGGCGTAAAGCGGCCGCCAGTGTTGGCAAACTGTGGATCGACTGTCCCGTAGTGTTTGAAAACATTCACTTTAAACGAGCGGTGTTTCTGTCGGACTCGACTGATACTAAACTTGTTGTCAAATACACTCCACAATCGGGTATGTATTTGTTTTGGCAATTTTATAATATTAAATAGATTACTATATTTAATCTAAATAGTTTAAATTGTTGAGTTATTTTAATATTGTTAATAATTTAACTTTGCAGATTATTGAATATATTTGTAGACTGATATTGTTGTTATAAGAATTATAAGAGTCAACTACAGTAATCAAATAAGCTCATTATAACAGTTTAATTTTAGACAGTTGTATATTAAAATAAATACTAAACTCATACATACAACACATCATACAGTATTAAATCTAGTAATAATTTTCCGTAAAAAATATATCCTAATCAAAAATGTTTATACTTATTTAAAAATGGCAAATTTGTGTTTGGGAATTTAGTAGTTAGCCATAATTATAGATATGAATGATTAGTATAATAATACTGTTAAATACAACCAAATTGTAGGTGAGTTTACAATTCACGAGAAGGACGAACTGTGTGTTACGGGTAGAGCACAACCCGTATTGGGAGCCACGGGTGGGGACGCAGACGAGTCCGCACTCATTGGTCAGCAATCAATCGACGAGTGGAGACATTTAGTGGGGAAGACGTCCAACACTATTGACCGCAAAGACATTTATAACGATGTGAGGGCTCTGTGTATAGATCACGGCCCGGCTTTCCAGCGGCTCAGTTGTATCGGAACCGATGACTTTATACTATCGTACGGTCGGTGCGAATGGACGGGCAATCCTATCACTTATTTAGACGGCTTATTGTTGGCGACAATGATTCAGACGCCGTTCCGCAAGACATCTGTGCCCGTAATGATCCGTAGACTGTGTGTCGACCCCCGCCTACTCTTTGACAGCATTAAGACTAACTTTCTCTGTTCCGCATATTCTCTACCAAATAACGATGATGATAACAGTGAAGAATTTGTAAAGGTAATTAGAGAATAACTAAATAATAATAAGGGGTTTCAATAGGGTAACTTTTATTAACACTAAAATATAATTAATATATAGATTGCATTAGAGGAAAGTGCTAACTTAGAGAAACAATTGAATGATCGCTACGCTGTGTATTCGGCAGAAATGCCCTTTCGATACAACAGTCTTACCCGACAACTGGTGTCGCCCGGCATTGAAATCGACGATCTGGTCGTTCATCCCATCTCTCGCCGGCCCGACACTAATCTCACAGTTGAGTCCTATGAGTTCTGTCCTAACAATGATATGGAGGCCATCGATGACAGTATGCGCGCAGAAATGTTGCAATATATTAAGGTAGAGAGTTTTTTTAATTGATTTGTTATAATTTTAAATTTGTTTTAGTACACTATTATATTGGTGGCAAATTGTAAATTATAAGTGTTTTAAGACATTTTATTTTTTATAATATAATAGTTATGCAAATCAATGGCCGGAAAAGTGTGTCAATTGGGAGCAACACAATTGAAATGCGATTTTAATTATGAGAGAATTGACAAAAATGTGTTACAAAAGTATAGGAATAAAACCAATGAAAATCATGTATTGTTTCGTATATTTAATACAATTATCACAGAAATCGTTGACAAGAATATGAATACTATTGATAACAAAGAGACCATCACTGAAATTATGAACAAAACACTACTGAATTCGGAATACAATTTGAGTAATGATATAATAAATCAAATTCAATACAACGAAAGATTGTTTAAATCGATTGTGGATATGGTTTGCGAAAACGTGGGTAATATTGGTGAGATAAAAGTGACCGAGATCAATCTCACTAATAATCTATTCATTAAACACGTGGAAAGAATTATCTCTCGATTTCGTGTTATGGCTTTGAATACAAATTATAAACTTATTGTCAATCAAAATAATAATAGATTTAATGAAGAATTTGGCGATAAAGTGGAGGAATGGGATCCGAGTGGGAGTGCATTAACTCTCACGCCATCCCATCTGATTATATTGAGAGACTCATTAGACTTGTGGTCATTGGATTTGAATGAGTTTATACAGGATTTGTACGACTCTATCGAAATCAATGGATTCTTAATAACAGTATTTCGGTATCAGTTAACAGAACCGGAGATTGCATTCAATTCATTGAAAACAACAAATAGTGTCAATAATAATACTTTGGATTCACGTATTAAAATGTTTAAATTTGTTTTGGCTGAAAATGGTTTCAAAATAATTGCCACAAAATATGACACAATAGGAAGTGCTGTCCTATTGTTCAGAAAAATTAAAACTGATTACGAAATCCCAAACATTAAAAATTTTGTTAATATAACAAAAGATTATATGAAATGGTTTCCAGTATTGAAGAAAAAGATGATTACTTTTAAACAAACGGCTAATAATTGCGATAACATATGGCTTATGGCAAACGACACGACAATCAATGGTATCATTGGTTTAATGAATTGTTTGCGTTTAGAACCGGGAGGAGAGATATTCCGCTATATTTTCTATAATGATAACAATAATAGCAAAACTGAAATTGATTTTACAATCAAACCGTATTTTGATATATTGGCCAATGATTTGGTGGCAAATGTTATGAAAGGGGAAGTTGTGGGCACTTATAGACACTTAAAACTGCCCAATGATTACGATAAATGTCTATCAAATGATTACTTCTTAAATATGGGACAAACACGTGATATATCGGGTTTGCAATGGTTTGACGGACGAAAAGTACCGCTAATTAAATACGATTTTGTCAATAATAAAGTGGACAAAACAAGAGTTGATATTTATTGCTCTGGTATTTCTTCTCGTGATTTGTCAATAACTAGTGGTAATTATAATGGACTGATCAAATGATCTTGTTCACTTTTTTAATTGTAATTTAAACTTCAGGCCATATTTCTGGTGTTTTTGACTCAATGTTTACCGACTGTCTGTTGGGCGGGGAATACGCCGGGCGTCGAGCGGATACCGGGCAACGGGTTATGGGTATTGAGTTTGGCCGCTGTATTGCCACTCAAATTAACGCCTGTGTCCTCAATATGGCTCCGATACCCGATCACTGGTCAATGGCTGAGGCGGTGACTGTTCTCAACAGCTATTCGACAGTATATTATGCACTCATTAAAAAGGCTAATATTTTAAAAGGTTTGCTTTGAGTTAACTATTTTGTAGTTAAAATAAATTTGTATTATTTTATTCAATAGACGAAAGTGTATTAATACACTCCGGAGCGGGAAGTGTTGGTCAGGCGGCCATTAATGTGTGCCAACACTACGGATGCGATATCTATGTGACGGTTGGGACGGAAGAGGAAAAACAGTTTCTCATCACAGAGTATAATATTCCGGAGAATCGGATCTTTAGCTCAAGAGATATGCGATTCAAGAGTGAGATAATTGAGGCGACAAATGGTCGGGGAATAGATGTTGTGCTCAATTCATTGACCGGCAAAAAGTCGGACTTAAGTTTTGAATGTTTGGCAAAAAGCGGACGGTTTATCGAGTTGAACAAATTGGACCATGGGCAAAATGGTCACAATCGTAAACACAATCCATACGATTTTGACGGCGATATTCAATACATTAAAGTTTCTGCTAATCTTTTGATTGCAAACATCGGGTTTTTGCCGGAATTTTATGAATGGATTCAACAGAACTCTAATCCAAAGGGTTTTGTCCGTCCATTGAATTATACAGTATTCGGGGCCAACAGAGCGGTCGATGCGTTTCGTTATATGACTACCGGTCAACACATCGGGAAAATAATCATTAAATATAGGGACGAGTCGTCAGATGTGTGGCCAATGAATCGCATTACTCCGGCAAATGATCTGAAGGTTGACATTAAAACATATTTCAATAGTGAAAAAGTATTCATAATAACGGGTGGTTTGGGAGGAATGGGATTGGAGTTGATGTCATGGATGCATATGAGAGGCGCCCGAAAGTTTGTACTCACTTCTCGTTCTGGTATTAAAACTAATTACCAAAAGTTTTTCATCAATCGTATGAAATCTTATTGCAAAACAAATCAATATT